TCTATTCCATAAAAAATTTCAATTTCAAAACTTGCACGTGCATCATGTTAGAATTACTTTTCAAAAGGTACAATCTTATACGCGAATCAATACTTAGAATCAAGTAAATCCCAAGAATGATTTGATCAAAGGCGCCATTTCAAGAAGCTCCTAACTAGGGGGAAAGCATCTATGGGGATCCCACCGCTTCAAAGGAACAAATCCTAATGATCACATGAACATCCTATTGACTAGGGGAAATCTTCTAATATTTGGTCAACTTAGATTACATCTCAAAGCACCAACTAATCAGGGGCATATCTTTCAAGATTTAGAAACTCTGGGGAAATCCTTATCAAGTTCAAATCACAACATGGTGAGATCCATGGTTCTCCTTAGGATATTCCTTAAGACTATGAACATTGGAGCATACTTCTCAAAATTCAAATGTTGGAGCAAAACGTTGAAGACTCAGAAACCGGTTCATCAGGGGAAAATTATCCCAAGAGCTAATTAAGGGCGTTAAGGTTTCAAAATTCAAAATAGTGGGGTCATCCATCTCAAGTTCATGGTAGGGTCAAACCACTTCAAAACTCACATTGAGGTAAATCTCTACGAAGACTATTAAATTGAGGCAAGACAGGGGCAAGCTCTCTTTATACTTTCACAATCGTCGATGAAGCTCTTTCCTACGTCAACAATCTTCGAGTTTGAAATAAATATCAGGAAGTCATGCTTGCATAACACTCTATCATCTTGTAACAAGCAACCTTGTTACATAAAGAACCTTTCTACACCTTAAATATCCATGACCCACCACAAGGGCACCCGTTTCAATTCGTTACATAAATCATTATCATGCATTAATCATGTCATTATGCTCTAGCCTCGAACCATGCATATCACCGCATTAATATCCCTATATCATGAATCTAACATTTATCAAAAGCCCAATCTCACTCTGCATTTATCCCAATAATTTCAATTACTCATTTACATTTGCAACATCCATTAATACATGTCCAAGTCACTCATTGCATGCATTGGTCAATCATTACATTTTGTGCATCAATCAAAATAATCATTGCATTTCATGCATTGAAAAAACAAATCTCATTCAACTATCATCAACACTAAGCTAAATCCAGTTCCCGTATAGTAGGCAGTTCTCGTCTGACAGTTATTTCAAAACCAATTCTTGTCTGGTAGTTAGTTCTCGTCTGAAGGACTATCATTTCCACTAGTTCCCGACTGGTAGTTAGTTCCCATCTAACAGTGTTGTACCAGTTCCCATTTGGTAGCCTAAGTTAAATCCAATTCTCGTCTGGTAGTCAGTTCTCGTCTAACATTTAAATTAAAACTAGTTCTCGTCTGGTAGTTTTCCAATTCCCATTTGGAAGCTAATTTTTAACCCTGGTTCTCGTCTAGTTGCATACTTTAAACATCAATCAACTTTAAATAACACGTGCATTGCATTAATTTATCATTGCATAAGTCATCGTCATGCATTAATCATGTCACTTCACTCAAGCATATTATATTACATATCATGCGCCAATGCACATCAAAATAAGCATAAATCACAACACATAGCACAAACCATGTTTCATATGAAGACAATTATCATTTTTGTCAAGTTGTCTATTCTACGTTCAATCTCGGAAGTAGATTCCCCTGGTTGATCTCGGTAGAAGATTTTCCAGAAGACCTCGACATAAGGTAGTTATCAATAAGATCTCTACAATATATTCCCATGGTTGATCTCGATAGATGATTTTCTAGAAGACCTTGGTAGAAGGTAGTTCTCAATATAATCTTGGCAATAGATTCCCCTGGTTGATCTCGCCAGATAATTTTCCAGAAGACCTCGGAAAAATGTAGTTCTTAATAGAATCTCGATAGTAGATTCCCCTGGTTGATCTCTGCATATGATTTTCCAGAAGACCTTGACAGAAGGTAGTTCTCAACAGAATCTTGGCAGTAGATTCCCCTGGTTGATCTTAACAAATGATTTTCCAGAAGACCTCGGCAAAAGGTAGTTCTCAACAGAATCTCAGCAGTAGATTCCTCTAGTTGATCTCGACAGATGATTTTCCAGAAGACCTCGAAAGAAGGTAGTTCTCAACAAAATCTCGGCAATAGATTCCCCTGGTTGATCTCGGCAGATTATTTTCCAGAAGACCTGGGCAGTAGGTAGTTTATCAATTGAATCTCAACAGTAGATTCTCGGATTGATCTCAGCAGAAGATTTTCCAGAAAAACCTCGGCAATAGGTAGTTTCTTAATTGAATCTCAGTAGTAGATTCTCGAGTTGATCTTGTCAGAAGATTTTCAAAAAAAAACCTTGGCAGTAGGTAGTTTCTCAATTAAATCTCAGCAGTAGATTCTCGAGTTGATATCGGCAGTAGATTCTCTGGTTGATCTAGGCGGAAGATTCTTTTAAAAGACCTCGGCAGTAGGTGATTCCTCAAATGAATCTCGATAGTAGATTCCTTGGTAAATCTCGGCAGTAGATTTCACATTAAGATCCTCACACAACTTTATCTATCAATTCATTCGTAAGTAGCCTTACGAATCATGAGCGGCCTCATGCACCACATGCATTTCATAAAGACGTGAGCAATCTTGTGCATTTTTATCAGCATTAAGACATGAGCAGTCTCACGCATTCACATAAGCATTTCATCATAGGCAACCCTACGAGCATGAGTAGCCTCATTCATATACATCATCATTTTATTCGTAGGTAGCCCTACGGGCATGAGCAGCCTCATGCAGTTTCATCCGCATTTCATTCAAGTATAAACAACCTCATACATTTCCCACTAGTATTTAAGAGTAAGCATCCTTACGCGTCTCACTCATAACATTATCATAATCACATCAAGCATACATTATAAAAACATACCATGCATCCATAAAATATACATACAACATCATACATGAAAATCATATCAAAGGCATCATCATCAAGCATTACAAAAAGCACACATTACTAAAGCACACATAACCATATCAAAGCATAGTCATTATATACATGCATTACATTCAATCATAAAGGCCCAGGAATACTTCAAAAAAATCTCAAGGCCTATTTATCATCTAAGTTACCTGCGCAAAACACAAATTCAAATCTTAACATTGTTTACACTATTACAATATAAACCTCGGTTAAGAAGATATATAACATTTAGAGGTACCGCAACCAAAGTTACACTAGAGATATATTTATGATTCATATCCATAGCCTAGTTATTCAATTTTCAATTATCAAGTTCCACTTACCAAGTTTCAATTGTTACGTTTCAATTATCGAATTTCAATTGTCAAACTCCAGTTGTCAAACTCCACCTATCAAATTTCAATTTTCAATTATCAAATTTAAATTCAAAATTTCAAATTTCAAACCCGCATTATTTATACCCTAGGTTGTGATAAATATGTGAAATTTACGATACAACTTACTATTTTAGTCCTGAAGCGTTAGCAAGTTGTTTTCAAACCTTTTCAGCTCTATTGGTTTAGTCCCTTGGCATAAATAGATTTGATACCCGCATTATCTATCCCCTAGGTTATAATAGATATGCAAAATGGATATAACTATTCATATGGGTCCCTGGAAATGATAGGTTATTTTCCGAATTTTTGATCTTATTGGTTTAGTCCCTTGGCATAAATAAGATTGATATCGCGTCATTTATCCCCTAGGTTGGGATAAATGTTGAAAATATGCATTTCAGCTTACTATGTTAGTCTAGAAGACTTAGCAAGTTGTTTTCAGATCTTTTTCAACTCCATTGGTTTAGTCCCTTGACATAAATGGATTTGGTACATGAGTTACTTACCCCCTAGGTTGTGGTAAGAATGTGGAATATGCGATAGCATCCCTTTTCATATCTATTGATTTAGTCCCTTGATAAAAATAGATATGTGAACCCATACTCTATGTATTGATGAGTTAACTATGTCATCCTTGCCCTTTTTACTCTTTGGTTCATTTTACAAATTACCTTTCAAAAGTTTTTGATCAAAATTCGGGGTCTTCCACTATTTAATAACCATCCTATCTAAATGTGCGAAAACTATGCACGCTTCAATCGAAGAGTAATTAAATAGGGGCAACTGTCATACCCCAAATTTGCTTACCCCTATTTCTAGAGTCAAAATTATTTTTAAAATTGAGTTTTATAAAATTTGTGGTTTATTTATACTAAATTTTAACATTAATTTGTTTTTCTTAAATAAAAAATATACAATAGTTACTTAAAATTATTTGTATTTTTAAATAACAAATATCTCATACCATTCAGATGCTTTCAAGTGGCTTTTTATTTCGAATGAATAATATAGCACAATTAGTAAGGAGATAAAACTTGCAAGTATAAGGTCATGAGTTTGAATCTCACATGTTCCACTTTTAACATTTTTTCTTTTATTTGTTACTAATTTCAAATTATATTCACAAATCACAAAAAGTGATTTTTTATTATTTAAATATTATTTTCGTATTTTTAATTATTTCATTTTTTAAAATAATTATTTATTTGATTTTATGCACTTTTTTTACCAAAATCGAGTGCAAAAATTATAATAAATACCAAAAATATTTCATTTTCTGGTTAATTGTTTTTTATTGGTCAATTTGAGTCAATCTGTGTCATATTCAACTTCTGATTGATCAGCTTGCTTACCAAGATAGAATCATAAACTTTGGGTTTTTATTATTTGAGTAATTTCCTTTTCTAGCAATTTAACATAATTTCTCATTCTATAAATAGTCCTCTATTTTCATATTTGAGGACATAAACAATCATCCACAATATTCACAAATCCACAATCTCTTACAATTTCTCTACACACACAATCAATAATTTTTTCAACTTTTTTTCACACACTTGTTTTCAACATTTCTTTTCAAAGCTTTTTTTGGTTTTCTCTTTGACCAATGATTAAATATGATGCCACCCTTTTAGTTTCAATTTTATCTTTTTTTATTCTAATTTGCTTATAATTCCAACCGGATGATGATAATACTGATGGTTCCTTTTTTTACATCAACAATCACTCACATTCTTTCCATAAAAATTCACATTCATCAATACACCAATTCACACGGTACATACTATCATTCTAACATATTACATGCCCAATTTTCTCATTGTTGCATTTCTTGGACAAATTTTAAAGTAATAATTTCACCATTCCAAAACCACTTTTTACACTTTACCAAAGGCCTTCACAAATCTTCTATTTCTCAAACTACTGTCATAAACCATACAAAAATAATCTCTTCAAATTGAATTAAAAATTTTCAAACAAAAACCAAGACAATATTCATCCGAAATCACAAGTTCATTATCAATTAACATCACCATCAATACACAATAACACTGACTAACAATATTGATCCAACAACCTGCAAACCCGAGAAAAGTCAGGATTCAAAAATTCAGCATCACAAGCACATCTGTGATTTCTTCCGCTCCCTCTGTCAACCACGCACAGATCCTCGCAAAAACTCAACAACAACAAGACACGAGTCCTACACCGTAGTCGTCCAACTCAACTACACATTACACACCTGCAACTCCTGTCACCGTCGATTCAAGACTGCAGCCGTCAAAACGGCCCAACATTATGCACAACAAATCCTCTACGTGTCACCATGCTGGCGAGCAACTACAGTCGGAATCTGCCACCCCCAGTCGCTCTTCCTACCCGATGAAGCCACTATGATACTCTCCGAAACAAGCTACATCAACTCGATCTACATCGCCGTCCGCGACTCTGATCACCACACACGTCACGGAACACGTCCTTGCCTTCGACAACCTCAATACCGACCGTCGCTCGGTACCTTAATCCTTCCTTCTTTGTTGATTTCAATCATTTTTATATTGTGTTGTTGTTTGAGTTTTGTTTGTAAATTTTGAGAGAGAATATACAGAACAAAAGTAAAAAAAGCGTACAAAGAGAGAAAGAATGAAGATTATTATTTTTTATATTTGTGCTATTTCACATATAATGTGTATTTGGTTTTTCTATTTATTTTTATTTAACACCACGTGTCACCATTTGGTTGGATGGGGATGATTTTGAAAAGTCAAGAAAACACCCTCATTGGAAGCATCAGGCGACAATACTCACTTCCTCCACTTTACTAATATTATATTTTATTTTATTTGATAATTCAAATTAGGTTTTTTTTGTTGTTCGTGGGTTTTGTTTTATTGTTATCACACCACCCTTGTTACTTTTATACCTCCTAAGTTTATTTGTTTCCTTTTGTAAATTTCTTTTATTTAGTTTACTTTAGTTTTTAGTCCATTACTTTTATCAATGTAATTTCTCTAATCGGAGTCTAATTAGATTAGTTCCTTTAGATTAATTAGGTATAATTAATGTATTATAATTATAAAGCAATCAAAACATGATTGTGTACATAATCTTGTAAATCATCACTAATGTTGTACATAATTCTAAATCCTTTTTTTTCTAATTAATTCAAACATTTTACAAATAATAGAATAAACGGATTCGACATTCTCGAGTAACTAGTAAGTCAACTTAATGCCTATCGATTGGCTATTCAAATCGAAATACATTTAAAATTCGCCAAACAAATCAAATTAATTTTTCCGTCCAACGTGATTTAATTATAATAAAGATAAACTCTTTATCATTCAAATCAAAATTCAAAACTGCTAACCAATTCAAATCAATTTTTTTACTAACATAATCAAAAATTCAAGACTATCTTCAATAAGGAATTGTCCGGTTTCTTTTTACTTGGATATGAAAATTTCGCCTACCATCACTCAATTTTCAAACTCAGGAAAATTCAAAACCATTTGAAAGCAACTTAACACGGTTCGATAAAAAACACTAACCAAACACTTCGAACTATGAAGGACTCTGATTTCTTCGCAAGAGGATACATAGGCACACAATTCAAAAACCAAGGTGACTCCACTAACTAAAAAACTTAATTTTCCCATTATATGATAATATGATTAAATAAAGAAAATTTTCCTATAAGTCCTAGGTCTAAAAAGGATCCCCTTGAGTACAAGGGAGATGATGAGTGCCTAACACATTTCCTTTATCTCATTAACTCGCAAATCTAGTAATCTCTGAAACAATTAGAGTTTTCTGTTCCTTTCCTGTCCTTAAGACAAAAAGTAATGGTGGAGACGCTCTTATTTTTTGTCGGTTATGACATACCTATATTTCTTCGTTACAGGCCAGGCGATGAGTTATGTACTCATCCAAGAGTCAGACAAAGTTGAGTGATCTATCTATTTTTTAGCAAGGTATTTAAGGGTGTTGATGCTCAATATCAAATTATCTAGAGGTTTGACAATTGTGGTAATTGCTAGAAAACATAAGCCATACTTCCAAGGGCATCGAGTAATGGTAAAACCTAACTACCCCATTCAATGAATCTTGAAGAAGTTAGATCTAGAAGGAATGATGGTATCTTTGACATGAACCCTACCTTCTGCCAAGGACGGTTCCTAGTGACGTTGGAGAGCGATGCCAACTTTTCCTGATCGGAGATGGTAACGATTGAATTCAGTCGTTGTTCAAATTCACATTGATCGAGCCCGTAGAGTTCCAAGAACATGCCAATTGTCATCAACTAGGAGACAAAGAATGAACTCAAGGATCTAGAGAAGATAATTGAGTTCGAGTATGGCAAGAGTTGAAACCTTCAATTTGTTTAAAGCTTAGAAGCCAACGACTCATATGATGAAGCGGAAGACCATGAAGATATTAAGTAAAGCACATCATATACAAAAATATAAATAGAGGCGTCAAGCAGATAGGTAAATATATAAGTAATTGTTTAAAAAAATGCAATGGGTTGCTGATATTACACATAAGTTATTAAAAAAAGAGAGGAAAAAGTGAAGCTTGACTTGCCGGATATGCTGCACCAAGGTTATCCACTAAAGCCTCATCCTGAACAACATTGAACTAGTCTAGTTTCGAGCAGGGAAAAAAGGCTCCCATGCAAAGTTTTTCCATTTGGTCCACTGCCTGATTGAAATCCCCATACACATTCATTAGAGTTTACTAGAGGGACTAATCAACCGTTTTCCTCAGCTTAGCCACCAGGTCATTTTGAACCTTCTAGTCTTGGGCGCGATATTTCTTTTCTTCTTGAAGAGCTTTCAAAGCCTCATCAGCACGACACTTCACCTTCATAGCGGCAATGGTTGTTTTTTTTTTGTGCCTCCTCTCAGCTTCTAGAGAGGACTCAGTTTCAACAACTCTAACAACCATAGAAGATGAAGATCCATGAATTTTTGCCTAATCCTAAGAGCTTCGACACGACCAACCTTTTCCAAAAAGTAAGACATCTCCTCTCGAAGCTTAGACCATTTATGTCTCATGGCCTCACACTTACCTTTCCAAAGTTCCCTATCTTAGAAGGTTTTCCCATGGCTAGAACATCACCCTGACCAGCAGCAACAAGTAAGAATAAAGAAGTCATTCTATAGGTGTATAAGGTAGCTTCAGAGAAAAGTTTCATATTATCTGTTTCATGAAGATTTTGAAGGTATGTCAGATTTTCTTTAGACATAACTGCAACAAATTTTTGGGGGTGTGAGGAATCTGAGCAAGAATAATAATCGTCAACTTGAAAAGAGATGTGGACGACCCTAAAGAACCACCCCTGGAAAGCCGAGCAAGTTTAGGAAAATATTCCTCGAATAGAGGACTTTGATCTTGATCTTGATCCCTTTTTTCCTGAACGATAAGGGAACGAGGTTGATCCTTGACAGTTAAACCAGTATCAGTAGGTGGAGGCTGATTAGGTCAATTAGTGATTGAAGAAGCCTCAACAACATTATACACGACATAAGTAGTTAGATAAGGAGTAACACCCCAGGTTGAAGGAACAATTTTTCCTCCCCGAGTCGTTCGCTCTGCAACAATAACATAGACTTTATGAAAAAAGTCCATTTTATATGAAAATATGAACACCCATATTAAAAAAACGGCCATGACTCCATCCTCATAAAAAATCTTTTTCCTCTCCAAATGATCGACTACACTCACAATGGAATGGGTATCAATAAATCGATTATTCTTTATGGAAGCTTTCACTTTAATAGGGCCAAACTTCTCCTCGTAGCCAAGATCCCAGTAAATAGTCTCCAAATCCTTCCTCATCACAACCTCTTCAAAAGTCATGAAATCGCTTGAATGCAATACAAATGAGGCTCATGGTGGAAGTGGATCTAGGTCTAGTATTTATTAAATCAATCCATATAAGGGAAGGAAGATTTAATAGGAACATACTAGAATGTAGAATGAACTTCTAGAGCACATGACTCACTAGCACGAAGCACCCCAGGAAGTCGCCTAATCTATAAAAAAAGGGCAAAACAAAGGAATATGTTGACACAACATAATAACTCCCTGATCATGGATACTATACTTATAGGTATGTATTACAACAAAAAGATAGAAGAACAACTGATATAAAGGTTTCTAAGACCTGTACTCGACCCAGAATTGGAACAACTTCATAAAAGCCCAAGCGCCATAATATAGTTGTGAAGGGGAAACCTTCAAAAACTTCGGCACCTCCACCTCAAACGCATACAGGGACAATAACAAGTTTGTCTGGGTGAACATGCACTCATAAAAGGGAACATAACATCCACTCAAAAGTGATACATATACTCTTACCTAATTCCACTAGAAGAACTAACCATTCAGAATGGTGCCCGACTATAATTTTAGTTGCACCCACAATCGCCAAATTACATAAGACAAAAGGGTCCCCATTATCTTTTAGTTTGCCAGCCATATTTTCGTTCATCAGTCGGTTCCACTAACGTGATACCCCTCAAGGGTATCTCACCAGCCTTAAAAATCCTAAATGGATTGAGCCAACTAACACCATTTGGCCTAGCTCCGTGCAATATATAATCCTTAATCTCCACATCGCTCGACTTTGATCATAAGATTTTGGTAAGTCTTGATGAATTTTTTGTCACCCTCCTATTAAAAATGGCAACCTTCACCTCTAGAGTCAACAATGCATGGTAATAAAAAGCTCATATAACTTCATACAATGCAAACATATAGTCGACTACACGATTGTCGGTAACATCTTCATAAAAAGGTATCGAAGAAAGAATCACTAAAGTACTCTCCCTTATTTGAAGAACCTCTAAAAAGCCTCTCCGAATAAGAATCATCAAATACAAAATACAAGAATAAACTTTTGGGATAATTGGTTTGTGACTAAGTGGGAAGAGTGTGAACTAGAAGGTACATATGTCCTAAATAAAGCAGAGGAACCACCACTCTCATAAGCATTAGACAAACGTATGGGAATATCATTCATATTGATCATGGTAAAGAAAATGTTGAAGATATGAAAAAAGCTTAAGGTAAGAAAGGTATTTGGGAGAAGTAGAGCCTGACAAGAAAGGTGAAGGTTAAGTGATAAATGGGATACTTTTCTTAAGTAATCACACGCGCTTTGAGAAATACTCTTAGATAAGAAGAGGGAGGAAATACAGTCTTAAATGAAAACTAATTTTCAATGATAGCGAAAAGTTCTCCCAAATGTTAAAACCCCCTATATATAGAAGGGAGCAATCAATAGACCAAATAAATAGTAACAAGAAGTTACAGATCAATGATTGGGTTTTTCCTAAAAAAAATGTAAACAAACTCAAATGCATTCAAATTCCCTAGGGGAAAGCGCCATACTCTAAGCTGATAGCCTGAGACCACACGTCTGAAAAACCAATGAACAATTTTAGTAATGAAAAACATTTAATGTGTGTGTCCCCTAATACTTTTGTAAATGATCTATGACTTTTATACTTCTTTCCATAGTAAGACATCATCCCTGGAGGTTGGCCATAACTCTGAAGATTTACTCGCTAGTTCACTCCTATCA